CCTCGCCCTGGCCCTCGGCACCGTCTCGGCCGCCCCCTCGGACCCCCGGCTCCGGCAGTTCCTGCAGAAGTCCCTGGCTGCCGCGGCCGGGAAGCAGGTGAGAGCCCCGCGACGGGACGGGACGGGCTGCGGGCGGGCGCGCTCGGCGCGGCACCCCCGGGCACCCCGGCGGAGACCCCCGCTCCCCGCTGCAGACCCCCCTGCTCCCTGCTCCCCACTGCAGATCCCCATCTCCTTGCCGGAGCTGCCCGACAGGGAGACAAGCTGGGCGGGCTGGGGTAGCAAGGGACGTCCCCAGCCCGGCCCGGTGCAGGGGGAAGCAAGCAGCAGAGACTGCTGGAGCTTCGGGGCGATCCGCGGTGCTGAACCAGGGAAGATGCTGAGGGGAGGTGGAGAGGGTCTCCAGCTATGGCTTGGGGGCAGCCAGTGTTTGGAGGGAAGAGAGGAAAAATAGCTGCCAGAGAGAGGGTCCCTCCGGTTCAGCCCGACCTGTGAGCACAGGGACCTGCACTCGCTTCCCTGCTGAGTGGCTTTCCAAGACCTGCCCCATGTCACATTAGAAGCAAGGTTCAGCTTTGCAACATCCTTCTTGTGCTCAGCCCAGGGAGAGGGACCACCGAGTGAGGAAGAGGAGGCAGGGTGGTGCATGGGTGAGTTATTTCCCTGCCACAGCGAGGACATTGGTTTCTTTGAGAAGGCAGGTGCACAACGGAGGTACCTGGTGCTTTTCTATGGCTTATTTCATAGGCACAGCTGCTACATAACAGCTGCGCTTTGGGAAGATGTGGCTTCCCTCCTCTTTTAGAGTTGTATGTGTCTCTAATTTTGGTGCAAAGATGTTTCAGAGGGTGCTGAGTCCCCTAACATCAAAGGCTAACTGTGCTCTCTCTTCTCCTCTCCCTCTTTCTTTTTCTTTTCCTGAAGGAACTGGCCAAGTACTTTTTGGCAGAACTGCTCTCAGAACCAAGCCAGACAGAAAATGAAGCCCTGGAGTCTGAGGATTTGTCCCGAGGGGCTGAGCAGGACGAAGTGAGACTGGAGCTGGAGCGTTCGGCGAACTCAAACCCTGCTTTGGCACCCCGGGAACGCAAAGCAGGCTGCAAGAACTTCTTCTGGAAAACATTCACATCCTGTTAGCTTTTGAAACCCACCTTTCCTCCCCATTTATCCCTGTCTTCTTCCTTGTCCCCAACCCTGAGCAGAACCTTCACCACAAGAGGCGAAGACTGTAAATACACATCCATGGTTATGGCGAAATTAAACAAGGAAAATTTGAGTTTGATTTCAAGTTGTTTTAATAAAACTTTCTGTTTCCATTGTACATGATTTGCTTGAGTTGTGATTTCCGACTAGTTCTTTAATGACATGCACTCTGCAACTCTCTCAGATGTACTATTTTTAATTCTTTGTTGCAATAAAGTTTATGTTTCAAATGGTGATGCTGAGAGTTGTTGGTCACTGAGAAAACCTAAGTCACTTTTTTGAAATGGCTGTCTTTGAAATGCCCCCCATCTCTGGGCAGCAACAGCAACCAGCCGTGCAGCCTCCATACGCATACACACACTCACACACAAACAATATATCTTAAAGTCTTTTTTTTTTTTTTCTGGGATTTTCCTGAGGGACCACGAGGCACAGTGTTATGTTAAACATAAAATGCTTGTAATTGCCGCTGAGTCAAACCCACAACGCTGGCACTACTGTCCTCCTTCCAGCCTGGAGAATTTACCCGCATGACCAGAGATGTCCCTGTAAATCACATCTGTGCACTATGAGTGACAGGGATCATGAAAAGGGTTCGTGGTACAAGTTTGCCTCACACATACATTATTCACGCCACAAACACCAAAAATATTTTTCTCTTCAGGCATATTTTACTTACATAACATCCTCTGCTTCTAAGATCCCTTCAGAAAGCTTTCTGCTGTCCTTCTATGCAGGAGGCAGGCTTTGCATCCCTGTAGAAACAGGTTATTAGAGCTATTTCAATCAGCCTCTGCAGCAGCAGCTTTCCTACACACTACGTCATCATTAACAGCAACATTAGAAGGTCCAAAAAGATGGGAGATGCCACCAGGAAAAAAGTGGTACTTTTCTCAATGGAAAAGAAACTCTTCAGCCTTTTCCAGAAAGTCTCTTCTCTTTCTAGCCATCCTGACATATGGCTCACATAATCTTGAGAGAGTTAGAGATATAGCGTAGGATCCTGCATGTGGGGCAAGTGCCGTTTTGATGATAATCCATCACCAGGGAGTAAAGATTACAAACATGTTGTAGTCATCATTCCTGAGAGACAGGCTAAGAGCAGAGGATCTTCAGGAGGTATTCATGGGCTGTGAACCGAGCATGAGCTCATGTGGAGGCAAATTTCCCAGTTAAGGGCAGGTTAAGTTGCCTTTGGCCTGCATTGAACATGGCTCTGTGTGGGGCATCATACTTAACGGATCGTGGGCTGTTGCCTTCATTCTGGTTTGGCAAATCTTTTCTCTGATGGAAAGACTGGGAGATTTTTGAGACTGCAGAAAGGGACAGTGATTCTTGCAGCTCTCTAGGTGGCAGGGGAAGGCACCTGTGGTGACTGGTGCTTGGGACACGCTCTTCACACCCTGGACACCTGTGTCTGGTGCAGCTCCGGAGGCTGCAGTATTAACCCATCTTTGGGAGAAGGCAGAAGGATCAGAAAAGGGGCCCCTTAGTGTGGAGACAGGCTCTCTGAGCAGACAGCAACAGTCATAGCTCATACCTGGTCCCTTTGCTACTGCATATCATCAAGGGAACAGGTTTTAGGGGATTCATTGAAGCAGAGCATTCCCTATCCTTGGCTGCTTGCTCCTGCCTTAGTAGAGATTCCCCAGAGCTTCCAAGAAAACCAGCTGATTCTTCAGTGCTGAGACAGCCAAAAGACAGGAGCTGGAGGAACTGAAAGAAGATGGAGGTGCCAAGAGCTTGAGTATCCTTATGTGCTGAGTCCATCCTTCATGGGATATAAATAGACCACCACTTGCCTGAGGTTCTTCCTCTTGGTCCCTGTGCTCACACAGTGCTTTGAAGGATGTTTAATCCTGCCAGTTGTTAGAGTGAAACCCGTAGCGAATCGGGATACAGAAGATCCTCAAGCACAAGCAAGAACTAGTACGGAATGATTCGCATGCTCTAACACCAGCAAGTTTCAGGAGTGCAGCTGGCATCATGGCACAGCAGCGTCTGCAAAGCTTAATGAAGATGAACTGGTGGAGGCACAAGTGAATGTCTTCAGTTCAGAGGCAGAAAGACAAACCTGCTTCTTCATCCAGCTCAGGGGCTCCTGGAGCTTCATGAGGCAGCGTCCAGAGCATTAAGGTACAGCATCACGATGTATAATTGTACTGAAGCAGCGCCAGTCGTTGCTGATGCTGGGAGCTGCATGAGTACAATGCAAGAGACAATCTTGCTCTGCAGAGCTAGAATGTCTGGAAAGACAAAGCAAGATGTATTGCTTCTCTTTGATAGATGGGAATTATGGGCTAAAGAGATTAAATGGCTATATTTAATCCCTGACTACATAGGCACGAAGCTGAGCCACTGCACAGTGTCTTGCACTAGGAAGACTCTTGCTAGGTGAGATGAAATCTGGGTTGAGAGTATGCAGCTATGGTCAGCTCTTGTGCCAGAGCTGCCACAGTGCAGCTTCCAAGCGTTGTTGAGTGAGATCTCTGTGTTGAGAGGCTGAGGATGTACTGAATTGGAGATGGAGTGGAGGAGAGGGGCTGTGATGCACATGCAGAACTGATTCATCTCTCCTACTGCGCTTGGTGTCACTGGCAGACCCAGAGCAATCCCTGCTCCATCAGGTATTCTCAGCTCAGTGATTTGTCTGAGGCAGTGCAAGGAAATGTCTGTGACCACGAAAAAAGGTCTTGAAAATGCCAGCCAAAGAGTTGCATTTAATGAAAAACAGAAGACTGTATAAGGCCTGGAAACAGACTTCCCCTTAATGGGAAATCAGTGATGATTTCAGTCCTCTCTAGAAGAAAACTCTCCTAGTAATGACGCGAGGGAGGGTCATTCACCCTAGCAGACGAATCAGTCTCTTTTTTTTTATGTAAAGCCTGAACAAGTTGAAATGTTCCTTGCTGTGGTCCACAGGAAATACTTACGGGGTCTAAATTTCATAGCCTGAGTCAGATCTGGCCTCAGATCTCTCCTTTTGGCTGTGCACCTCAGCTGAGATCTGCTGTCTTCAGTGCACATGTGGTGACTCACCCACTTCCCATGCAGAGGGAGCTGCCTTTCCCAGCAGTCGGGGGACGACTGCCGCCGTCAGACACTCAGTGGGGCACTGACCTCGGCCGTCGTGTCCCTGTGCACGCTGCGCTCGCTAACAGCTCTCTTTCTTTGACACCAGCTCGTTTTTGTGGTTATACTTCCCTGTGAACTTCCAGGAAAACTCCTGGCCTTGTTTTAGCTATTTCAACTGCCATCCCTTGGAAAGGAAACCTCAGTATCAGCCCCGTCCCATTTCCATGTCCAGAAGCACCGATGCTGCGCTGGGACACAGCTGGAATCTCCGAAAAGTCCCTCTCAGCGCGGAGGTACCCGATTGTTCTGCTCTCTCATTCCCAGGCATTGCGCTGAGCCGGGCTCTAAACAAGCCTGCAGCAGCTGCTGCAACAGGAGTGAGCACCAGCACCTGGACCCTTGAGCCTGACGATCTTGCACCACAAGAGGCTCCACACCGTCTCTGCATCTAATCTGCCTCTGCAGCTCTTAGCAAGCATTAGAGACGACTCTCCGTTGCTCTAATCTGCAGCCAGCAGGAGCATCCCAGACTCCCAGAGCTCTGCTTTAATCGCAGGAATCTTCTTCCCTTTGATCCTGTCAAATTCCCTACCTCCATTACCCCTGTATGGGTTGGCAACAGGTGTTTGGGAAGAATCGCTTGATCCTGCAACTGTCCTAATTCTCTGAACATTAAGCAGCAGGATGTTTATTGACCAGAGTGAAAAGCTAGACAATAAAAGTTATTATGATAACAGAACAGACCGTACTTTTCTCTTCTCTGAACATTTTCTGATTCTTTGACAGATTCTCACCAAAATAATGTAATAAAATTACTTTATACTGAGCATTTTCTTCTTTTTTGTGTTTGCTTTATTAGTGAATCATTTGGTACTTTTTGTCAACACCTTATTACTTATCTTACAATAACAGTTTGGACACATGCTGTTAGAACCTCAGAAGAGTTTTTGGATACAAACCTCAGGAGATTTACTCCATAAATTACTTGCATAATGTATAATATTAACAAGGTCTCAAAAAAAAAGTTCATTTCTTTCTTATACAAATAGAAAAAAAAACTGTTTTGTGCCATAAACTAAGATTTCCAACATCCTCTGACAAAGAAACTCACACAAGTGGAGCTGAAAGTCATTCAGCTGACAAAAAGCTGATGGTTTGTCATGGCTGTTCATATCTCCTATGGAAAGATGCCCCAAGAGAGAACCAAAAGCTGCACTCAAAAGCAGAGTGCGTTCCCTGTGGAGGCAGGAAGGGAGAGATGTGGTGCCGCACGCACCCCAGAGCATCCCCCGATGCTCTCGTTGCCACCTCATTCTCGCTTGCAGCCTGTACTTTGCCATGTACCTGTGCTCTCGGTAGGGAAACACTCTGTCTCAAGCCCTGCCGTGGTGATAAAGTTATCCCTGGAGATGTCCCTAGGCATCCCTTGCTCCTGCTTCAGACCTTGTTAGGCAGGTTCCCTCCAGGGCTGAGCAGAAGTTAGTAAATCCTTCATGGCCTGGGAATAAGCCTGGTGACACTACGCCCCCAAAGTAGAGGGTTTTCTTCCCAGCTCCCTTACGCAGTGCTGGCTCTGTGCTCTGCCTTCCAGGAAAATCGGTCCTTTTGCTCAGGACTGGGGCTGAAGGAAGGAAAGGTTGCTGGGGCTTCTGGAAACCAGCTGCCACCTTTGTGAAGATCATCTTCACTGATGCCTCTTCTCTTTCCTATTTTACAGTCTGTGGTTCTTCCCAGAGGCTCAAATACAATATTTCTTCCCCTGTTGCTCTGCCTCCCATGCTCTGCTGCTGAGAGGGGGCAATGTGGGGGGACTCCCTGACACAGATGGGCTGAAGAAGGGGGTGCACAGCAGCCAGCAGAGAGAGCCAAAGAGCACAGATAGTCCTATTTATGGTCTATATCCATACCTACAACAGCAGACACCCAGGATGGATTTCCTCTGTGCCAGGGGCTGTACAGACCCCTAGCTACACCCCAGTGCAGAGAGCAGGGCTGGACTTGGGGAAATAGGAGTGTTCCCTTAAGCAGCATTTTCGGGGCCCAGAGTTGTGCCAGGATGCAGGCAGTACCGGGGTGCTGCCAAAGACATTTTCCCCAAACTGAGTGTCTGCTTTTCATTTCTCAATGGCATTTCTCATGTCAAATTTGTCAGTTTTTACAGGTTAAAAGAAAGTTAAATAACATGAAAATAAGTGAACTGTTTTAACTAGGATTAAACCCAGTGGTTTTTATTCTTGAGATAACCTTTAAAAATTGACTGCATCCAGATCTTTTATTCCCTTGGTAATTTTGTTGCTGTTGTTCAACCACTGAAACAACTCCTTGCTCACTCAGTTCTCCTAAAACCTCACGGTCTAATCGGTAATGGCAGGGGCAGAGGGAGGAAGGCTGGAGCCCATTTAAAGGATCAGGGAACAAGACGGCCCATCGTGGTCACACTCTGCCACGATGCGCAGTGGTCACTGCTTTCTGCAAGCTGAAGCTCTGGGCTGCAGGGACACTACCCTGCCAAAGAGTTGTGTTGTGCTTAACGAAATCAGCAGGAGCAAGGAATACAAGCTGTCCGTGCCTGACTCACGGGACTGTGAGAGCCTGGGGCTAGGCTGAGGACGGCAGCCCGGTCCTGGCACTCCCAGCAGCATCTCGCACAGCTTGAATAAACAGCTCGCTGGAGGCAATGACTGTGGGATGTGATGCGCGCTGATGATTTGTGCTCTTAGCTGCAAGAAACAGCTCCTGTTTGCTCTCCAAGTCTAGGTGCCCAGGGTACAGAAAGCACAAAGCAGCACTTTCCTCTAAATCCTAAGTGGGGACTCAGCCTTGTCTCCAGGAGATGGGTCCCAGCAACAAGAGTAGACATCCTGCCACCATGTGTAGCTTTTGCAGGTTCCCAGGAAAGTGTCTGCAGGCTGGCACTGAGGTCACAGTGGCCAGTGAGCACCATGTTCTGCTCTGCATATTCCACATTCTGCCAGGAGCAGCCCAAAGCTGCTGCCCCAGCACGTCCATCTCCATCATATGGTGTGAGGGGAAGAACACCCAATGACACCCTCATGATTCTGGTTTCAGTCCTTGGAAGGAAGTCTGATCATCTCCAGAAGGATAGAGGTCAACAGTAAACAAGAAAGTTGGGCCCAAGCATCATGTTTGAACTGGAGCTTTCAGCAGAAGAGTGTGAGGAAAAGGCAGCAGCTGTTCTCCCTGAAACCTGCATGCAGCATTTGGAAAGCAGTGACTGGAAAGAACGGATTTCCAGCATGGAGACCCTTCAAAAGACTGTTGAAGAAATGAAGAAAAGCAAGATACCCTGCCAAGCCCTGGTGAGATTGCTGTCACAGAGAAGCAAGGAGACAAAGCTCCAGGTGGTGCAGAAGAAACTTCAGACCATCACTTTGCTAGCTCAGAAAGGGAACTTCTCCAGAACATCTGCTCAAATTGTCTTGGAAAATGTAGTGGAAATGGTGGGAGATGTGTTATGCAGCGACAATGCAAAAGAAGCCCTGACAGCTATAGCAGAAGCATGTTCATTGCCTTGGACTGCAGAGAAAGCTATGTCACTGGCTTTCTCACAGAATAACTATAGGACCCAGTCCATGATCTTGAAATGGATATCAAACGCAATTATGGAGTTTGGCTTTGTGGGAATGGAGGTTAAGATGCTCATAAGTCCCCTGAAGGTTGCACTTGCTGCTGTTCACCCAGATGTACAGACATCAGCCATCACCCTGCTGGGGGTTATTTACCTGTACATGGGAGACTCATTGAGAACACTGATAGAGAATGAAGGGCTTCCTCTTCTGGCACAGATAAATGCTGAGCTGGAGAAGGTGTGTGGGCAGATCCCACCAATTCCCTGTCGTGCTAACCCCATGCCATGCCTGCATGACAGGATTCAGGAGGACTTAGGGGAGCACGGGAGGACTGAGGCCATAGACATTGGTGACAGGATCACATCAGAACTGGTGTCAAAGCTGCAAGAAAAGAACTGGGAAGTGCAAAAGGAAGGGTTGGAAGAGATTGCAGGCATCCTCAAGGATGCTAGATTCATCCAGCCAAACATAGGAGAGCTTCCAAGAGCCCTGAAGGTTTGTCTCTGTGACTCCAACCCCACTCTGGTACAGATGGCCCTCAGGGTCCTCCAGCAATTGTCCACAGCCATAGGCTCCAACATCAAACAGCACATGAAAGACTTGGGCTTTCCTCTCATTGCTCTCTTTAGGAAGAGTAAGAGCAGCACGAGAGCTGCTGCCCTGGCTGCTGTGAACACCTGGGCTGCACAGACCAACCTACTGGAGTGGCTGGATAGGGAAGGCATTTCAGGGGATCTAGGGAAGGAAACGCCTTTCCAGAAGGAAGAGCTGGTGCAGTGGCTGGCTGAACAGCTGCCCACCCTCCAGTCAGCTCCCTCATACCTGCTTCAGTGTGTGCCTCATCTCTACTCCTGCTTGCAGGACAGCAATGAGTATGTGCAGACAGCCTCACAGGCAGCCTTGCCATTCTTCATAATGCACCTTGGTTTTGAGAAGATGGCTGAAGTCACTAGCCAGCTGAAGTCATCTGCAAAGGACCACATACTTGCAATACTGGAGAATGCCAATGACAGTCCACCAAACAACTCTCCTGCTCTTGCTCCTGTCAAATCACTTTCCAGACAATCCGGAGTGGCCACTGGGCTCATCTCCCCATCAGTCTCAACCTCACCACCTGCAGGAGCAGCCTTCTCTTCACAAATACCACTTAAAGAGCCAGTACCCAAAAGCAGTGGAGAGGAGAACCAGAGTCCCAAAGATCTCAAGTCAGGAGGAGCAGTCCTGAAAGACAAGGGTGCAGCCGAGGGGAAGGCACAAGCTAAGTCCACTCTGAAGGATAGTGACAGTAAACTGGGACCCGTCTTCATCATTGTCCCCAGGGGGAAAGAGCAGAGAATGAGGGATGAGAAAGGCAACAAAATGCTGAAGTGGAACTTCACCGTTCCTAGCAACAGGTACGTTGAGCAGCTGAAAACTCAGCTGAGTAACTGTGTGTCCAACAACCTGCAGGTAGAAATGTTTCACTCCAGCTTCCCACACCACATCAAAGCCTTGTCCATAATGGCCAAGCACTTAGAGGAGGAGAAAGAGGGAGTTATCAGTTGCTTGGATTTGATCCTGAAATGGTTAACTCTGCGTTTCTTTGACACCAACACGTGGGTGCTTATCAAGAGCCTAGAGTACCTCGATTTGCTGCTAACTTTGCTGAGCCAAGAAAAGTATCAGCTGATGGAGAATGAGGCCTCTTACTTATTCCCATATCTGATCATGAAGATGGGAACGTCAAAGGAAGCTGTCCTCAGGTTGGTCCACACTGCCTTGAAGAAGATATGCCTGGTCTACCCAGCCAGCAAAGTGTTTGGCTTCCTCATGGAAGGGGTCAAGTCCAAGAATGCTAAGCAGCAGGTAGGATGTCTGGTGGAGATGGGTTATCTCCTTGAAGCATATGGCCTAGATATATGTGAGCCCAATCCAGGCAAAGCCTTAAAGAGGATAGCTGCCTTCCTGAGGGATGACAACAGTTCTGTTTGCAGTGCTGTCTTAAACATTTTGGTCATAGTTTACAAAACTCATGGGGAATCCATGTTCAAAATGGTTGGGAATCTTTCTGAAAAACACATGAAGATGCTGGGACAAATTGCAGCACAGATACCCACTCAGCCAGCAGTCCCTCCAGAGCAGCATCTCTGTGAAAAACCTCAGCAGGCTTCAAGCACGAGATCCGAAGCCACCTGTCAGCAGGCAGGAGATGCACCCTCAAAGTTTGAACTAGCCTGCTCTCAAGAAGGAAATGTGGGTACAGGGGACACGGTTTCCCAGACACTGCCATCAGATGTAGATGGGGATAAGAGCAGGCTGATCACCAAAAGATCCAGCCGCTTTAAAATGAAGGATATCATTCATCTTGACACCATTCCCGAATCTCAGATCCTGTCCTTCCCAAACACTGATAACACATCTCACAACCTCACCTTAACTATTGATTCCCTTATTTGTCACGTTAGCAGTGGTGACACTGACACCAGCATGCAGGCAATAGTAAAAATTGAGGAGATCCTGAGACAGAGTGACAAAGTAGAGACTATGTCTGGACATATTAACCAGTTCCTTCAGAATATTTTCCAGCAACTCAAGTTTATCTACCAACAAAAGGAAACAGAGGAGAAAATGGGGAAGGATCAAGTCGTTCTGCTATGTAGCTACATCATCCAAGCCATGCTGTCTCTCTTTCAGGAGCAGAGACTGGCCCAAGAAGCCACCATGGAGGTGCTTAAGGAGATAATTCACAGTCTCCTTACCTTGTTGTTGCACTCCCTGGTGGAGGATCTGGAGGAAGATCAGAAGCTCATACAGTCCATTAATCTCCTCCTGAAGAGGATTTTGGAAAAATCTGACCGGACAAGAATCTTCCGTGCCTTGCTCAAGCTGCTCCAAGACAACCTGATCACCAAGGGCAGCCCAGACAAATTCTCTGACCTACTGGGCAAGTGCCTGTGGAGAGCCACACGGCTTCTCCCAGGCACCATCAGCACCATCAACCTGGACGAAATCCTGCTGGATGTCCACGTACTCATGAAGGCTCTCCCGGATGAGAAAATGAGGCAGTGCACAAACAAACTTCCACTGCGAGCTCTGAAAACTCTGCTACACACCTTGTGCAAGCTGAAAGGTGTGAGGATCCTGGAACATCTCACCCTGATTGAGGATCCGTCTGAGTCTGAGGTAGAAGCCTATCTGCGAAAGGCAATCAGACCTCTTCCTAAGCAAGCGACAAATGAAACAACTGTAGGGACAGGGAAGGGGATCCCTCAAGAAACTTCAAAGGTTGAAAAGGACAAAGCATGTGATGTCTTGGAGGGCATCTTCCAGAAGATTTGCTCCAAGGAAAGCCTGAGAGAAGGTCTGGAGGAATTATATGAATATAAGAAAAAATGCCCTGAAGCAAGGTTGGAGCCTTTCCTAGGAAATCTCTCTCTCTTCTTGCAGAGTTATGTAAAGCAAGGCCTGGCCATCATTGAGACAGAGCAGGAAACTAGCGAGCACATTTCTCCTCCTTCCTCAGGGATATCCCCTCATGTGGAAAGATCTCCCCTTAGACCAACAGTGACCCCAGGAGGGATCACAAAAGAGGATGAGGCAACACCATCACAACACTTGGAAAACCTGCCATTTGCCAGGCGGCAGCAACATGAGCTTGAGAACATGATGGTCCACAGCAGACCCTCTGTCAGCCAGCTCCCCTTGGAGAAGGAGGATATTGTGCCTCTAACTCCCTTCCAAAGATGTACAACAGCAAGATCCTTAAGGACGTGAAGAACCATGAGCAAAACTAACATCAGACCAAGCAGCGAAGCTGATGGGTGTTTTGTCACTGGCCTTGGAACTTGCT